CGAATTCTGGGTGTCCGGCTTTCAGATCCTTGCATCCCAGTCCCAAACCTCCCATCCTATCCTCGACGGAGTCGCAGCCGAAGCCGCCGTAAAGTTTGATCTGGATTGTTTTCATCGTTCCCTCAGCAGCACCAGTGTCTTGAGATCGATCCCTCACCATCCCCATGAACCTGAGACATACCACAATCTCAAGACTCTGCTCAGATTGAAGCTGATGCTGCAGCCCAGCAGCTCGCGACGAAGCAACTCGACTGAAGCAGAGTCCCTAAGGTTCAGTAGGGCTGTTGCCCCCTGACGCGTTCCGCTTCACCGCGTTTCAGCAGAGCCAGGAGATCCCTGAGTGTATGGAAGCTCTGGGAGGGAAAGCATCGATTCCTCGGCTGAGGCTGTCGGAGCGCCTGACAGCTCCTCCACAGTTGGTCTTATACTTGGCCAAAGGATACGGCCCCCGTGTCCTCGCTGCACTTCAGCCGGCCACTTCGAGGGCTTTTGCAGTGAGGCTGGGAGGGGCGGAAACTTCTTGACAACCAGCTCACGTGACACGTACGACTACCTTCTATGCAGCTGCAGCCTAAGCCGGGACTTAGTACAATCTAGTGCATGGTTTAGTATTTTCGAACTCAGCACTCCGCAGTTCTAGGTGCGGATATTCATGCTTTCGTTGTGCTGGCAGATGTGCTCTTGGTAGCGCTGACAGATCCCAGGTTCATCCTCCGTTGGACCCTTGCTGCAGGAGCCGACATCCCCCGACATCTCTTGAATGTTCGTGCGATACGGCTGCTGCCTATTGGGAATGATGATCTGTTATGCAGCGCTTGCCACTTCTTGCGTTGAAGCTTCGGCGCTACCTCTAACAGACAGCTTCTTCCGGACAGCCCACGGAACCCTGCGAAGACTCAAGCGCACGACAACATGCTCCTGAAAATTCCTTCCTTTGCGCTTGAATCCCCGGCGCAAGTCCACCTACCCCCAGCTTGCGCATGGATTGTATACGGGTATAGTTCTCTAAATTAGGGTCCCTTTTAGGGTCCCTTTTAAGTATAGACCTGCAACCCGAAACTCCCAGCCCAAGCCCCCAGGAGAATTTCGGGGAGTCTGCCATCGTTGTCGGGTGCAGCTCCGAGGGTGGCGTGGTGGCCTCAGCTTCAACCAGTCCCCAGGGATAGGGATACTAATAATCATAATCAGAATAAGAATAATAAGTATCATTATTGTTGTTATTCTTATTATCATTATCATAATCATTATCATAATCAGAATAATAAAAATCATAATCATAATAATCCAGTACTGATTGCAACGACCGCATTCCTGAGGAGCTGCCTCCTCGTCCTTCTTAGGCTCATCCTCGACATCATCCTTCTAGTCCTCGTCACCATTGCCAGCACCTTCTTCGGAAGCACAACAAACACTCTCACGATGCAAATTGCAATCATCGCTCTTCTTGGGTCCACAGATGTACTGATACGAACCAATGCACTGCAGCACCACCCTCACATCCTTGCCGCCACCAGCAGCATCAGCAAGACAAGAAACGCAACAGCACAGTCACATCGAGGAGGACACTAAGAAGCGCAGGACACCGCCTTACCCCATGATGTAACTGAAGATTCGGCTTGACGGTCTAAGCAGGTGTTCGGGGCATTTGGGCTTTAGGGCTTTGACTGGTGAGGCAGGACGGCCAGCAAAGGCTCGTTTCATGGGCTTGACCTCAAACTCTACACTGACCTTAATTTGAACCTCGACTGGTCTTCACCTGCGACTCCGGGCTTCTTGGGAGGTGGCCGACTGCTAGATGGCATGTTTTGGAGTAGGAAATCCCAGAAAGTGAGGTTGTCTTCTCTCGCTACGCTCCGACAGATCGTGTCTTCTGCTTTGAGACGCTGTTTGCCGATCTGGCAGTGGCCGACAGGCATCTATACGATACTCAGCCGAAGCACAGCAGCTACTCTACACAAGAGCAACACGATGTGAGCAGGACATGTGCGGTGACAATGACAGCTTTGCACTCAGCACTGCAGTTCCGCGAGCATAAGTCAGAAGTGTGGACCTACTGCCGTTAACAAGCATGGATTTCATCCCTGATTCAGAGATCAGTGCTCTGGCGACACACAAATTTCAATCCGCCGGCTACACCTGGCTGGATGAAAGGATGGATCCTTTTTGGTCTAGCGTCGCAAAACGAATTCCGAGGTATATTTCGCCGAACCTTATTTCGGTTCTCGGTGGAGTTTGCTGCGCGCTGGCTGCGGTGTTTACAGTCCTAGCGAACCACATCCGGTGGATTCCGCTGTATTTCGCGGGGCCCTTTCTGATATTCGTATACATGACCTGCGACGCCGTGGACGGGAAGCATGCGCGGCGGACCAAGCAAAGCACCCCTCTTGGGGCCGTGGTCGACCACGGCATCGACGCATTCTGTGCCTTTACGACGGGGATCGCTGTGGTTGTCACAGCCGATCCGGAGCTGAAGGATCCCAGGCTAATGCTGGCCTTTTGCCTGTTTCATGGCTCCTGGTTCTGCGCTCAGTGGGGCGAGCTAGTCCTGGGTTCCTTGGATCAGCGCGGTATCACTGAGGGCGAATTTGCCTCCATGGCCGTTATTGCGCTGCCTGGGATATTTGGCCCAGATGCTGCCAAGTCTCGTATACCCGCTTGGGTCCCTTATTTTCGAGACCAGCCGATCCTCGATCCTGTAATGATTGGAGTCATCGTTGTTTGTGGTGGCGTTTGCTTGTCCTTTGCTTTGCGTATCTTCCTGAAAGTACAGGGCCTGGACCGGCTCAGGGCCACATTTCCTCTCGTCCACCTGGCTGTGCACACCAGTGCTGCCATGCAGCTGGCCACTTCTCCGCTACGGCCACAGTTTCCTTTGCTCACCTTCACGGTGGTGGGCATGAATGCCGCGTCTCTTGGTTGTTCAGTAAGGTTTAGACTTTGGAGTCGCGCATCTCCAATCTCTCACAAGTAATGCACCCCGACGCCGTTCATCCGGATCGTTCCGGCAGCCGTCTCAATTCTGAAGGCGTGGGACACACATTGACATAGCAGCAGACTGAAGTGTATAGTCCCTTCTACCAGATTGACGAAGCCCCTTCAGAAGCAGTGCTTCTGAGCACCAGCATCTCGCGAAATGGTTCAAGCAATTGTAGACACCCCACTAAACTTAAACCATCACGAAGCCAGGCTTCTAATGACGAAGATGCGCTTCATGGCCACGTTTCGTGTTCCCTGGCCAGCGCTACACTGGGAAGTGCTACCCTTCCTGGCCGGGAGCGGAGTCGAGGCTTTGGGTTCCTTGGCGTGTTTGTGCCCTTGGTTTACTAGAGTTGCTGCCTTTGCTCGGAGCTGCCTTTCATTGGGCTTGCTGCACAAATTGCCGATGAATAGCTGGAATATGCCAGTAGCATGAGGCAAGCAGCTACAGTAGTGGCTAAGGCCAGTATGAAGTCTATGTCGAAGGTCGTGCACCCGACCCAGCAGCTCCAAAAGCATCTTCACTGTCATGATCATCATGACGACCATGATCAGCCGCAGCGACGGTATCATCACTCTCATCCCCATCGTTTGATCATATGTTTGTTTGTTGCTAATGCAGCTGCAACTTTCAGACAAGTCGAGGTGTTGGGATCACTTCTGCTTGTTTAACCCTCAGGGCTCTGATGATCGCCGATGGTCATGGAGATGATGGTGATGGTGCTGAAGAAGCTGGCAGGGTGAAAAATGTGCTAGCATGCTGATGTCTGATTGCGCCAGGAGGAGGTGCAGAAAGAAGCGCAAGAGCATCAGGGTTTCTTGTTTTCTTGTTTGCATGGGGGCTGTTTACCTATCGCCAAGCTCAGGCTTCACGATCGGAGCTGGTGGATGGCTCCTCGTCGCCCTTCTTGAGCTGGCCTTGTTTCTTGTCTGGTAGGTGTGCCAGGATGGCATGGTGCATTGTCGGGCGTAGTGTTTTAAGGGGTTGCATACAAGTGTATGGCTCAAGCCGTGAACAGTTTGAGCATGTTCTGCTAGACAGCCATGTTCCTAGCTGCTAGATTTCGTTCATGAGAACTCTTCAGGGAAACTGCTTTGCCAGAATGGCTGCAAACAGAGCTTTAATGAGAAGCACTAGATGCCATCCCACCTCCGCATACGACAGAAGCGAACAACAACTCTACAAAGAGCTTTGCGATGCATAAAGCCTGATCGCCATTTCGCTGCACAGGCTCCTGGTGATGTGGGATCGGCTCCTGCGTCGTATCTGCAGCCGTCTCAATGTGCCCTTCCTCGCTGAGGTGCCTTTGAAGGACGGCTAGAGGGGCTACGTTCGTTCTTTCAGTTGCATGGTGGTGTTATTATAGCTATAGTGTATTACAGTGGCTGCATGTGCACACTACAACCTTTACATCTATGATATAAGTGTCATCCCTATGTTGCGGAGTTTGGCATTAGCTTTCGAGCAACTGCAGGGTCTCTCAAAGGGTCAAAGCAACCCTCAGCCAAGCCTGGCGATTTCGAACTCGGCGAACGGCGTTCTGCTGGCCGGAAAGACCTCCCAGTCTGGACAAACATCCAGATGCTGCAGAGAACTGATCTTCATGCAGCGGCTGCGGCCGGAGCTCGGGCTCTCTGAAAAGGTTTACGCCTTGAAGGGCCCATGGTCTGACGCTTCGCAAGCCAGATAGTCCGAATCTTGGCCTCAGACCCGCGAAGAATCAGAATCAGTTGTTGTTGGCAGGCAAAAAGCCTGAGAAACTCTCGGGGGAGGGGGGAAAAAGAGCGATGAACGCCTTGCCGGCAGGGCTGAGGTGCAAAGCAGTTCTATGCAGCCTTGGGGGCAAGCCTACACTTCTGCATACAGTAGCTGACAGGGCCAAAGCCACTTCAACAGAGCAGAGCTTATGCTGAAGTGCTTCAGTTTGGATGACACATGCCGAAGGGACTTGCTTATATCAAAGTCGAGCAGAGTGTTCCAATCTGCTGAGCACCCCACTTCCTACTTGCGCTGTTCCTCCGCGATTGCGTTACTGTTAGGGGCCTTAATAATAACGACCTATCTTTTTAGTAATTATAGCACAATATTCCCCAAAACCCTATTCCAACTATCAAGGCCCCTATATTAACCCGACAGGCTTCCCTTTAAGGCTGTACTCGCAGGCTATTCGTACACAGCACGGGTCCCACAAGCACTACACTCTTGTTCAGCCGTCACGTGATCCCCTTCACTGGTTCGGAACCGTTCTCGCTGTCCCCATTACGGCTTTATGGTTTAGGGTGTAGGGTTCATAGGACAAGCCAATCACCAAGATTTTCGGCGCAGGATCAGGCGAATGATCATGTTAACAATGGCGAAACATGGTACTGTTGTTGCTATGACGCGTCTTCCTCTTGCCGTCATCATCCTTACGACTTTGTTGCTAGGGAAATGAACACCCTGCCGCCCGAGGTCCTTGCCGAAGGTCGGGAGGCTCGCTTGCCTGCGGTTAGGCTCTGGTTTGGGGAGTTTACGGTTTAAGGTCTGGGTTTAGGCTTTCATGAGGGACACCATGAGAAACAGATCCGCACCTGCCCCATGCCTCCGCAGCTCTTCTTACACTGTCTTGCGTTGCCGTTTGCCACTATATGGTCCCACACGGTCTTCGACATCAATGGAGTCCACAAAGCGTGAACGCTGTTGAAATCTACGCTCGTACATATGGAGCCCATAAACGTTGAATGTTGTTGAAATCCACTCACTGCGTCCTCGAAGTCTTCATAAATGATCATTAAACAAAGATATATGATACATACATATATATATATATATGTATATATATATACACAAATTATTGACTAAGTTATGCGTATCTTTATCATAATTATAGCCAAAACTCGCCCAAAACGCGGCCTGTAATGGAATCCGACATCCCCAAACGCTGCGAATGCCATTCACCAGCTGATGCCCAGGCACCTGCGGCCCCGAAACCACCATCCAGAAATCCTTACGCCTTGACCTCCAAACCTGAATCTGAAGCCACCCCAAATTATCGGAATTCTACAGTCTGTGCACCTAAAAAGAAATACTCTCCACGATAGACTGGACCCAAAAGCAGCCTGAACAGCTTACGTAGCCAACGCAGGTGCAAGAAGAAACCTTCGCCCTCGGCGCCCTGGCGATTTCAAGCCCCAGCCGGGTTCTCATACGTAGGGCGTTCGACTCTCAGAGGTTTTATTTAGGACGTTTAGGGTTTATAGGGTTGGTTCATGGTTTATGATAGAGCAAGGGGCGTTTAGAGGTTATAGATGTCTTCGGTTTCCCGTCTTAGGTGCCGGAGCTGGGGGTTTAGAAGTTCTACATCTGGGGTTCTGGGGAGAGAGCGTCGCTTGCTTGAGTTTAGGAGCTGCAGATTTGTTGAGCGTAGAGCGTGTTTGGGAAGTCTCACGCGTCTTGGGTGGTTTTTGCTGGTCGGGGACAGTTGGGCAATGTTCGACTGCCTGACTTCAATTGCAGAACACCCCACCAGAGGGGACACACCCATGGCCTGCAAGAACCGCGTATAACCCCGAATGGCATCTTACCTTCGGCAAAGCGACCTTGGAGTCTGCGAAAGGCTGTCTTCCAAAATCTTGGCCGCCATGTTGCAAGCTTTGACCCGAGAATGCTAGGCTTGCGAGTCTACCCTTTCCATGCCGGCGAGCTCGACCAACTGCCGCCCTTAGGGCGAGGCTTGGTATTGGATTTTTCTTGTTTTGCCCCCCACGCAATCCGAAATCTGACACCGAATGCTACAATAACCTTAACTACGACTTCAGACGCTTCGGAGGTCCCAAGGATCCTCTTGCAGGCGACAGGTACCCTGGAGGGGTGGGATTCTTTGAGAAGAACCAGGATAGGGACAAAGTGCACATATGCACAAGTCTAGCAGCAGGATGTGTATGCACAACGGAGTGTGTACATCTGTGTGTGTGTGTGTGTCTGCATGACAGCGGCTAGCAGCCTCAAGAATCCGCAGAATTTACAGGGCTTCGGAGATCAGGGAAGAATATTCGTTGTCGTTCGGTTTCGTGGTCTGATGCCTTTATTTATCAACGCTACAGGCAGACCCCCTCGGAGTCCAGACACACAAGCCCGCAACAGGTGGCAAATGGGGGTCGCAGGACAGATTCTGGCAGAGCGCACAGCAAGATTTCCAATTGCCACTGTGTGAGTGCTTGTGTTTGTTTTTCGGAGAAAGAGCTTCTTCTAGAAGTATATTCGAGCAGCAGCACATATAGAAGCCAGCATGTAACTACTGCTACTGCCACTGCTACTACTATTACTATCTGTTATTCCTACTGCCACCACTACTACTACTACTGCTGCT